TCTCACAGAAGCTATGCTTGGGTGTCAGGAAAACAACAACGCATGCGCAATAGAAAAATTAACTCATACTAGAGTTCTTTATTGAGTTTACTCTTTTGAGAGATTTTTTTATTGGGTAGGGAGGTTTTTTTCCCCATTGTGAGAACTTGTATGTTTTATAGCATTGATTACAATATATGAACCCAACACTAGCACAGATTTTTTTTTCTCTATGAGAGCTTCCAGGTTATCATTGGTCCTATTTTTAAGTATAAACAATAATAAGTTATCTCTCTGTGTGCTATTTTGATTGCTGATAAATCCTATTGATTCTTTTTTAATTTTATGTCCTATTGTTTTTTTTTTTTCATTCTACAACAGGCCCTTGTAACCGGTACACTAGACCAGAGATTATATCAGACTTCTCCAGGGGAAGGCAGATTAAGATTTTCGGGGTGGGTAGGGGGTAAGTAAAGTAAAGTTCCCTTTTCAAAGAGTTCACTTTTTCTGTGACCTCGGCATATGAAGAGATAGTGTGGTCAGAACTATGCCCAGCCGCCTTTACTTTCCCTAACGTGAGTTAGGTACCCATCAGAGTTGGGTGGCCTCAGGGACGGTCTACTGACTTGAACCCGGATTCGAGCTCGAGACTTACGGGTTAGCAAACCAGCTCTCTACCGCTAGACCACTCCGTCCCCCGGTGGGGGGTGGACACTGGTAAAAATATTTTTTCTATATAAATTATGTTTCATTGTGGGAGGGGGGGGGGGGAGGGGCGAAAATATGCCTGAAAGAAACACTTCTTTAGGCCAGCGGAGACCTGATTTAATGATGAGATCGTCAAGCCGGGGGACCAATAACTGAGCTTTAAGCCATTCATGAGCTGTAAACTGATCTAGATATCGAATCGAAGTACCGCAATACGAGCAGGCGATTGATTTCTAAAATACGTTGTAGCGACCGCCCCGTGAGCCGATGACCTGATTATTCGTCTAGACTCGTCGGCCAGGTCTTGCAAAAGTGGGTGCGAATTTACTGGGTCAGGGGCGGGTGGTGGAGGAGGGGGTGGAGGTACGTCCGAAGATCGATTGTTCCGGATGTCATTTCCTCCAACCGAACGACATCCCCAAGTCATAACCCAGCCGACCGCAGACGAGATGTGGGGGTGACGATTGTATTCGAGGCGAGGGGAGAGGGGGAAGATCAGCGTGGAAATGGAAAATTAGTTCGATGACGTAAAGGACTGGTCATTTTGACCCTCGTGCGGTCAACACAGCCTTGTCTCGCCCCAGCCTTTTCCCAACCTTCTGGTTGAATTTTTTACTCCACCAACATATAAACACAGCGAGGGTGACACGCGTACATATACACACATACACGGTCCCTAGGTCGAGACATACCTTAGGTTGACCATGAATATATGATGAGTCAGCAAAATGTATGAAATCACAAGCTTGGAATCGATTGTGTCATCAGCAGAGACTGTCTATTTCTGGTACACACCGCCCCCTCTTCTCAAAACATAAACATCCTATAAATAACTGTCACATTGATATGAAAAAAAAAATAGAATCATCCATTAAATGTCTATCACTTTGATAAAAACAGATTATTATCTACCAGTTTATAGGCTAAACCGTCGTGTATACAACAATGGGTCTTTCATAAATGACGATTACGTATTGCTAAATTAATACAAAACAGATCCCTCCCCCCCCCCTCTGGTCATACATCAAAATAAAATATGACCCTTTTCAGAACATGACGTGTTCATAGTTGTTATTATAAATCTATCATTCAGAGGCGTAGCGACCCTTCCTGGCGCCCGGGGACAAACTTTCAATTTGGCGCCCCTCGGGAGCAAATTTATGATTTGCACCCCCCCCCCCCTCATCCCTTTCGATTTGCCCCCCCCCCCTGAAAAAATGCAGCTAAAATGACATTTTAATTTATTTTTACAATCCGCTTTGGCGCCCCCCAAGGTCAGCGCCCGGGGACATATGTACCCCCCCCCCCCCATCGCTACGCCTCTGCTATCATTAAAGAGTAACATGATTTTCACAATTTATATACAGCGTAATGTTATGGCGCATTTCTTCTTCCTCCCCTCCCCCTCCCCCCATCATTTAAAAAAAAAGTGGAGTTCTTATTCGAACCTGACGGACCATGGGGAAAGTGTAGTTCACCTGCTTCTGGGCATATGAAGGGATAGTGTGGTCAGCATTATGTTCAGCATGGAGAAACACTAAATATTTTTATTCCTTCACATTTTCGTAAGAATGAACCCGACCACACTTACTCATTGATTTTTATCCAATCGATATCGCTTGGGAGAATCGATAAAAAAATTAAGCTCTAATAATATTTACTGACTGTAGTCTAGTGTAATATAACGGAAAAATCGCATTTCAGTTAATCTGAAAAAAGTGTAAGAGTGCCTGTTGGTATTTTGTTACAAGTGTGTATCACGATTAATCAGAATGTTCAAGTAGTGTATCACCATTAATTAGAATATTCGTGCAGCGTATCACCATTTGTATCTGCGCCTGCTCGTGCAGAGTATCACTATTAATCTGAGCCTGTTCGTGCATCACCATTAACCGGCGCCTATTCGTGCAGTGTTTCACCATTAATCAGAAAATTCGTGTATCACCATTGATCAGAATGTTCGTACAGTGTATTACCATTAATCAGTATATTCGTGTATCACCATTAATCAGAATGTTCGTACAGTGTATCACCATTAATCAGTATATTCGTGTATCACCATTAATCAGTAAATTCGGGTATCACCATTAATCAGTATATTCGGGTATCACAATTAAACAGTAAATTCGGGTATCACCATTAATCAGTATATTCGGGTATCACCATTAAACAGTAAATTCGGGTATCACCATTAATCAGTATATTCGGGTATCACCATTAAACAGTATACTTGTGTATCACCATTGATCAGAATCAGAGTTTCTTCCAGGCATCTCTTCGGGGAGGCGAAGCCCCCCCCCCCCCCCCCCGAAAATTTTTTACCGCCCCCCCCCCCCCCCGAACGAAATGAAATTTATATAATTTATATAGAAAATATATACTTATAACAGTGTCCGCCCCCCCCCCCCCCCCGAAGAAAGTCTACCGCCCCCCCGAACATTTCAAGTGCCCCCCCCCCGGAGAAAAAAGTCTGGAAGAAACACTGATCAGAATGTTCGTGCAGTGTATCACCATTAACCCGATGAAGTCGGGTCAACAACTAGCCTAGACCGAATTAAATGTTACGAGACAGATAAATCTACATCAGACGGCATTAATCACGACTCTATGCGCAGGACTGGATTTAAGACGGCCATCTTGGTAGTGGTAGCACGGTCAAGTCCCATTACATTTTTTTTAAAAAGTAGGCTCTACTCCACGTATCGCTGGTTATAACATCTATAAATAGTAACATTCACAGGGTCATGAACTTTATTACGACCCCTCTCCCCCACGATTGTAAGTAAATAAAAATGGCCCTGCAACGATATGAGTGTCAATGACCGCTAGGTGGTGCGACATTACGGCGAGAAATGACCCCACGTTGTACAGCGGCGACCATATTGGCTTGACCTGAGCGTGGACGGGGTGATCCACATCGCACGGTTCATTATCCCTAGACGCAGTATACGTTGACCCTACTAGAGTACCGGCTGACCCGACTGACCCCAGCCAGTGAAGCGTATCATCTGGCGACACGCCAGTCACAACACACGACGAGTTCTTGGCAATCACGGGAAAAAAAAGAGGGTCTAAAAATATCAACAAACAACCTAACAGCACGTTGCCCCCAACGCCCCTCATATCCCACAATTCCCCTTGCCGTCTACCCAACACGTGTTGATCAAAGATTGCTACAGCACTTTGAGAAGGGAGGCGGGGGGTAGGGGAGGATCGATGTCTAGTCCAGACGGGGCATGGAACATTCGGTTCTGACACTCACGTAACACGGGAGAATAGGAAAGAAAAAATACCAGTAAACAAAGAGAAAGGTATATTTGGAAACTTAGACGTCATGCAGCAAAGTTAGATAGCAGATGAATGATAGTTTAACGTCACTGCCGGTCGGGATGTTATTAGGTTTGCTGTACCAGGAAAAAAACATCATTTCCCCACTTACGTTAGAAGCTACTTATAGTTTTAAAACTATGGAAAGTTTGAATGAAACAAACCATAGGCCATATACAGAAATACTAGGGGTGTAGCCGATTTATATGAGAGTCGTTCAATACTATAAAAATTAAAAATAAAAGTGTTTACGAAGTGTTTCCTAATGTTGTGCAATAAAAACAAAAAAGAAAAACCCGGAGCCACGCCGGATTGTTTACAAGTGTTAATCGACCAAGCTTATCTGGCAAGAATGGCGTGTAAGCCATAACCAACATGAATCGTAAACAGGCGAATGAAGAAAGCCCTACATGATTCACATCGGTTTTGCCCGCAACCATGACCTACTACACGGCAAAATTAATCTCTAACCAAATATCACAGCATGTTACAAATTACGTGTCCGATTAAAAAAAATATCCCAGAATGTCAAAAAATTAACAGAAAATACAATAAGTTATTCTTTTATGTTTAAAAAAAGATTGTATAAGAGTTTGTCCTAATTTAATAAAACGTTAAACTAAAAAAAATAAGCAGTCCAATAATTGGTGCAGGAAGGAGCAGACAACCCTACTTAAGGTTTCCCCCAGTCTAAAAATGATGCTGACCCGTGTTGTCGATTTAGCGTGATCACTTCAGCGGTGGGAGGGGCGAAGTAGCGAGAATGTATTCGGAGAGAAGCACATGTTCCTAGAACGCAGTGAACTGACCTTCAGGCGTAGTTTATGATACTAGTGTACAAAACTAGACTATATAATATAATATTTTTTCCTTCCTAATATTCATCCAGCATTAGTGCCACAATTCCATTAACAATGTATTTCAATGTATTTTTTAAAATAATAATAATATTAGTTAAATTTAAAAGGCCTTACTTACAATACAAAGCTGAGAGAAATCCAAGTTTCTGTTTTTGAATTTTACTGTCATAAAACATAAAAATTCCACTTACAGCACAAATAGGCAGCAAGGATTACACTCAAGGAAAACAATGTACATAAAACTATTTAAAAAAAAAAGAAACCAACAATGTCAAAATGCTACATTCCAATGAAATAACATGAAATGACTAATAATATAGTGTTTAGCATGAAAAGGTCATATGACTTAAACATTTTATAACATAGTACAAAGTAAGTAAGCATTTAGACTATATATCTTTTTAAAAAATGATCCTAAAAATTATCATAATATGTTTATATACATCTTTGTTTTCTTTTCCATGTATGTAAAAATACAAATTCAGAGGGAAAAACAGTAACAAATAACAAAACAATCTACTGGTGATGCTTAAAATGAAGTCTAAATATTTTGACTTGTCATGTGTAATTAGCCAAAAATTGAACAGAAATGTGAAGGAAGTGAGATGGAACTTAGAACAACATACATGAATTAGAAAAAGTAGAATTTGACAGCCACTCTAAAGTGGCCAAAAAATTACAGATTTATGTAATAGTTTTCCCATAACATGAGAATCCTTGTTGAATTTAGAATAGTACACATGAACACAAATTCAAATACATGTATGTATGTATAGATATATATATACTTGTATGTTAAATCTTCTGAAGAAAATATTTAAAGTATTCTGAGATTAGCTACTATTGTACAAAAAGTGATAGAAAAGAAATCCATGTCAAAATAAATGTAGTGAATGAAATTGATATGGCTCACAAACAGTTTAAAAAAAAATGTACCAGAATTCATTCCTTTACTTGGTTTATGACAGTCAATCATAAAAGAACTATTTAAAGAAATGAAGGAATAAGTATGTTTTATGAACTCATTTAACAATCATCACTATAGGTATTAAAACAACATCATAAATAGTTTCATGCCAAGAAATCACAATGTAAATATCATCACCCAGACTAAAAGAAAAAAAAAAACAACAGACACACACTGCACATTCTCATTCTGTCTATATATTAAAATATTTACTTGTAACAGCCCAATTGAATCTTCATAACATATTGACAAAAAAATACATAGGTTTAACAATAAACAGTGCAATGATGCATTCAGTAACAATCTGTTTCCCACAACTAATGAGTCATTACTACTCTCTTATGACAGATTAAGTAGTTTCAAAATAGTTTACCTCACCACGGTAACTAAAATAATGACAGACAGTATAAAAAACTGTCAGGACATTTTGGTGTTGAAGTTTAGAAGATCAAACTCTTGGTTGACAGAAAGTCAAAATATTCTATGCCATTAGGTACAAGGGGTACATTAAGAACCATCTGCATTAAAATTAAAAACATTTTTGTACAAGTAGTATAGGCCTATATGTATTTTTAAGTTACTTTCAATTACAAAAAACCTAGCATATTTATTGTAATAAAAATAAGTTTTCAATATTGTAAAGAAAAAATTAACACATTCATAAAATTTGTGGCAGTTATGAAAAATAGAGGGTCAACTGGCTGTTTAAAACTGCTACAACAACAGTCAAATTCTAAAACACGTAGCAGATTATGGGTTTTTACCAACATAGACATCAAAGCTTTTTAAATTTCCTTAATCCCACTGTAATGAAGTAAATTCAATTTGAATATTCAAAGAACAAAAGTTAATTAGTTGTCACATTGTGACTAAAACATACAAAATGTAAAATGATAACCTTTATGTTGTGTGAGTGTCCTTCCCTGAAAATACCATTTCAGTCCTTTTTTCGGCACTGTAAAATATTAATTTGTGCTTATAATCAATGAAGAGTGTGAATAATTATCCTTTTAAAAGAAATCGGCAGAATAAGGTGGGCACATTACAACACTCGTAAAGTTTTGTCCAGGTATTCAAGCTGCCGAGGTTGTAACAGTCTTACCTTACTGAATTATCGACTATTTGCTTCAATTTGCATATGCATGCTATTTGGAGAATGAGCCATGTTGGGCTGGCCCTGTTGTGAAGGAGATGGGTATGGGTAGTTAGAATGAGGATGTGGTGAACCTCCAAAAACTTTATTATCACCTGTTGTAAGCTTGGCAAGTGCTGCCAAAGCATCTGGAAAATTGGGAGGAGTAGCTGGTGTGTTTGCAGGTGTACAAAGCTGTGAAGAAATTTTTTTTTTACACAACAAATTAATTATAAAATAACTTAGGCCTAAATGTCAACTAAATGATGAATTACACTATTAGTATTTAATGATTATTTGAAATAGTTCTTAAAACATGTCTTAATTAAAATGCTTAAAAAGTTCTATTCAGGCACAGTTTAGACAAATAATTATTTTATAATATTTATTATTATTAGTCATGTAGCAAAAAATATGTTAAAATCTTACAGGATAATTTCCATTTGTGTGACTTCTGTTGCAAGTTCGGCACATAGTGGGAACTGTGGATTCTTGAAAAAACATACTTAGTGCTGCCTGAAAAACAATAACGTATAAAATTATATTTAAAATAAAAACATAATGTAAGTTAACTAAAGAGTGTGCAAAGAGGGCGAAAATCATATTTCAAAACACGCTACACCAATGATAAACAATCGGCCATGTTTACATCGGGCAATCCTACAAAGTTGAAAATAGGGAATACGGTGACAATATAAATTATACCTCGAATTGCCATTGTGCTGCCTGTAAGAACTGTTTAGCTTGTTCTGCGTGGCATCCAGCCGCGTGTACAAATTGGTTAATCATAACTTGCTGCTTTAAATTATCCATAACTGAATGAAAATGAGTATTTGACTTCTAAAGAAATTGTTCTGTTTTGACGAGACTGTAAACACATCAAAGCAGTCCAGATATTGGCCAATCAGAAAGAAGAGAACAAAAACAACATATAGTATCCCGCTATAGATTGGCTACTTCAGGCTGTCGGAGGGAGTAGAATATAAAAGCCGAAGAATCTAAAGAACTTTCTTCCGGCAAAATTATATAAATAATCTAATTTTTTTGAGAATGTAAAAATTAACCCGTTTATGCACATTGTTAAAAATAAACTTAACTAACTTGTAGTTTATGTTTTCTTTATTATTCTTTTAACATGGTCGTGTTTTTGGACAATGGGATTCAACTAACATATCACATTGTTTATAAAATGACGTCATCAGTCAAAATACATATCGTCATATCCGGGTAATTGAAGAAAGATGGCGTAGATCAGATATTTACCAAGAATGCTTTGTATGAGTAAAAGATAACTAAATATCCTTGTTTACTTGTCAAAATGGGCAATACTTTTACTAGAAACCGTAATAACCGAGAAGATAGTGGAGATGCCTCTTCACAGAATGCTTACAGATATCCACCAAAGACAGGTTAAGATTTTCATACACAAGTTTACAATCTTTTTCTCCAGTCACTTCTCAAGTTCTCTCTTCGCAGTCTTCACGTCCTCTGTTTAGGTTCTGTTCAGTCATTGTTGTTTTCATGTCATTGGTCTCAAAATATTTAAGAAGTAGAACTGTATCTAGTAATCTAGTGCAAGTGTTGGTAATCTATCGCTTTAGCGTAATCAATTCGGCCGTCACTAGTAATGTAGGGATAAGGTAACTAATAAATATGGCTTAAATATGGATATATTTTTGCATATTTTACTAAAATACTAAAGATAATTGAATAATAAACCACATTTAAGGTTTAAATCAATAAAAATGTCAGGAAATTAAAGTTTAACAACGATGTTACAGATACTAGGCTTTTTGATGAGAATTACAGAATGATTTTTTTTATTAAAAATGTATCAATAATAGCTAGAACACTAGTAAACTAAGCTAATTTAGCATATTTTAACTTTCTGTGCAAAGTCATTATTACTGAAAAAAATTCCAAAGTCAGGTCAGCCTGTGGCACCCTCCACTGAACGTGACAGAAGGAAAAAAAAACTTCACCCGTGACCTTCATTAAAACAGAATTTGCTTTTTTATTTTTTTTATTTTTGGTATTTTTTGTGCTTAATCTTACCCAATAAGTGATAAAAATTTGAAAATTAATTTTAATTACAGTTGTAAAGTAAGATAAACAGCTTAATAAACACATGCTTTCTTGAGGGGGTGTGGCCCGGGTGTGGCACATCGCAATTATAACTTTATATTTCTGTGTTTTATGACTATATTTGTTTACAATCAGCATGCTATGTTTTTAAAATTGATAAAGGGTAAGTATACCAAGTTACAAAATCTGCAATCTAACTAATAATTCATACTTTCAATTTAAAAAATAATAAAAACGATCATCAACGAAGAAAGCGTAAACATTCTATTTTTAGGTGTGACATAAAAAACAGTCATAAATCTAGCCAAATGATTGGATTCTTACGCGGCACACATTTTCCCGCGCCTCGTTTTCACCAAACAAGAATATAATAAAATGGCATTATTACTTACAGCATGAAAAGCATTGTTGTCAGCCTAATTATATTAAACAATTCTATTTTTATTTGATAGTAAAGATGTTATAAAAATTGGGTCTAATAAAAAAGTTATTGGATAACGCACCTGCTTTAGTTTATTCGACTTGAAACGCAAGCTAAGTAAGCGTGACTTTCTCTCGACGGCCTCGTTAAATACAAATAAAGAAATTAGGTCAAAAGTACATCTGGGAATTCTTAAATAACAGACTGAAATAGAAACGGATAGTTCCGATGTCTAAAATTAACGATGGCCTCGTTATTATTAGTTTTATCCCTCTACCGTTTAGTGAAAGCGAAACTGGTCGCCATTTTTGGTAAGCGCATGAGCCATGAGATGGCTTCAAAACAACAAACCCGGAAGCTGTGAATCGAACGGCCTACAGATACTAAATTTGCTATTAAAAACAGCGGCCATCTTAAGAAAATATTATTTTGAGTCATTTCCCTTTAATTTCTATTTGTATGGAAATGTATTGATGTTTGCTATTAAATAGGTTAGTCTTGTGTTTAAATACAAAGCATGCGTTTTTTTTTTAAATTCTGCCATTTAAACAATTTAATTGACTGACAATAAACATCAGTTCTAGAATTATTATTATGAGATGCAATTTTTATACATTAAGATACTCCCTATTTTTATAGAGCTACCACTACATATCTAAAATTAATGTTTATTTAAATATTAGTTTGAGTTCATTCTTATTGTTTGTGTTATTGTTTGTTTCCTATTTTCATTTAATATTTTCATGCTTTTTTCCTTTAATTTGTGATGTAATCATAAATGACGTCCCGTTTTTTGACCTCTCTTCACCTTAACCCCCCCCCCCCATCCCACCCCCCATTTTCGCCGTCACGAAATAGTCGTAATGTCGAAAATTACCTTTTTGCCCTGTCTATTAACAAGTCAAGCCATAATTCTAATGAAAAATATTTTTAGCATTTTTGTATTAGGCGAAATACATAACGTTTCACGTTTCTTACCCCTCCCACTTCCCGCGTAAAACGTCGTCTCAAAACCAGTTACTCCACCCCTTAAGTGTGCGATGTCATTTATGGTAGATGTCAAGTCCTATATACATTTTGAATAAATTTTGTTGTCAAAATGTTGATACCAAATACCCAAAATGAGTTATATGGGGTTGTCCATAAACGATGTCACATATGCTATGCTAATGTGACGTCAACTTACGCAGGGTGGTCGGGGGTGGGGGGGGGGGGGGGGAATGCGTGACGTCTATTTTGGAATCTTCTATAAAGCTGTGCTCAATGAAAATGTGGAACATAAAGCGTTCGTTTTCATGCATACTTTTGTTCATCACGAATGATCATAACTATTGCATGCCTGTTGTCCTAAGCGGTGTTAAACAACATCAGCACACCATCCCCGCCAAAAAGGGCCTGCCACTAAATGCCTACCGACAAAAATAGGCCGCACTACATTGACTCCAAATGAAATAACTTCTGACAATGTGAATAAGGCTCAAACCAAGTAGCTCCTGGCAGCAATATTCGAGAAGATTCCAAGACAATTATTGACTAGCAGATAAAATGGGACAAATCGAAAATTGAAAGTTTGTCGCCTCTGGGGGGGATGACACCATTAAGTGCCGCACCGGGTGACACTCGACCTCGCTACGCTACTGAGCTAATGTAAAGCCACAGCTCAGTATAGGCTTGAATTTAACATAAAATAGTGTTAGCAGTGGACAGCCTCTAAGACTGTGCATTAAGAGTACGGCCGTCGGCAAAACGCCAGAGTCCGACGATATCTGAACATCAATTTTGTCTTTTATGAAGTGCGGAGCACCTTTAAGACCTGAGCTTGGCCCCTGTTGACACCACCACTAGCGCATGTCCATATATTAATCACACGTTTTGCGTGGAGCTTAATGGACAGACGTTTATAGGTGGGACCGGGAGCCTAAATGTATTTACAGAAGCCGCTGTGTCACGGGCATTTTAGAGCCGAACGTCTCAGGGCAGCAGGTTGCAGAAATTAAAAGCACGTGAATTTGTATAGTAGAGGGAGAACATCATGCCACTGTAATAAATTAAACACCAATATAATTCACCGAACTAAAGTTATTTAGATCTATTCGTCAGGCTAAACGTCGTTAAAGTCTCATCGACATAGTGATTTAGTGCCTGTTTTGATTTTCTTTTAATTACGCGGTATCTTTCTTAAACATTAGCCTAATGACAAATGACGTCACGCGCGCCGCGAACTTTTGTGAAGTTGTGCTTAGTGGGGGATGAAACGGCGTGGTTGAGAAAAATGACGTATTTCTTTTTTTTTTAACAGACGAATAAGTGATAGATTCTAATTTTCCTACGAACTATACGTTGATCTAGTTTTTTTTCTAGAGGGGGATATCACTATATTGTGATGGGCGGTTTATATATAATCTCAATATATTCTGATCTACTACTATTCATACGGCAACTATTATACTCGTGAGGAGGACGGGAATCACTCTTATGTTCCGCAGACACTAATTAACAATGTCAACAACTTAGTTTATAAAATAACATGAACTTAATTAACACACACTTATAGATCATTTTCACAATATCAAATAATACGTCCGTCTTCTACTATATCTAACCACCAACTAACTTCACTGCTGCGTCTTACGTCATCGGTACATTGTCGCACCATGCTCACGTCACACTCACGCCACACATATTTTATTGAACACGCGCACAATACTCTCGCACCAAATTGTCTACCGTCAAGTTCGTACCGTCCTTAGTAACCTCTACTCGTCTAGTCTAATTCTATATATCTACGCTATGACACATATAGTGGGTGTTTTTTTTATTGGTAATAATGGATGGTGGAGAGGGGTAAACATTGACTACTGAAGAAATCAAAAACTGATGACAGCAGAAGGCAAAGAAAAAAAAAACAACAAATTATGTGGTATTCAAATGTAACTAATTAAAATTTGAACCAATTTTAAAAAACACAATAATCTTAATTCAGAAAAAGTGTAGGCCTAAGACTAATGTCTACAGACAAAATAAACAACTAGGCTTAATTAAATGGATCGCCCATAAATGACGTCATACTTTTTCCGACAATTTCCCTCTCACCCAATAGTTATTAAAAGCAAGATGATGATTTAATATCATATCGCAGTTCTACTACTATACCCGAACCCTTAATCACAATTTCTAACGAAAACGAATATATTCTTCATCATTTTTGAAAAAATATTTTACATCGTCCCATATTTTGAGTCCAACGTCATTTATGAGGAATATGGACGACCTAATAATTGACAAGTTAAGGGGTCATCCATAAATGACGTCACGCTTTTTTTTTACGATTTTACCTCCCCCCCCCCTCCCCTCCGTCACACGTCGTCACAAAAAGTCAGACCCCCCCTCTAAAATGACGTCACACATCAGCCTACAACCCCCCCCCCCCCTCAAAATTGCAGTTGATTTTTTTTAAAACATCGATATTTTTCCAAAATCTTGTCTGAAATATGTCAAAATATAGTATTTTAATCAATTCCTATTATAATTTATTAAAACTGTTTTTTAAAAAGCTAAATAATGTCTAAAATTCGTTTTCTAACATTTCTTATCTATAAAGCAAAAGTGTGACGTAGCACCATCTGAACCCCCCCCCCCCCCCTCCCCCTCATCACACATCGTCACAAAATTACCGACCCCCTCCCTCCCCCCTACGATTGTGACGTCATTTATGGACGACCCCTAATCAGTACAAAAAAAGGGTTTAGTAAATGTTGGACCTCTCAAAATTTTTTGAGATCTTGGATGTACATACATACATAGCCTTCATTTCACTTGAAAATGAAATTAAAGATAAGAAGACGGCCCTCTGTCTTACTTATATTAAACAAGACAGGTATGTATATTAAACAACAAAGTCAACACAATATACATACGAATAGACATTTTTATCCAGGGAAACTACTCTAAATTTTATTTGGGAAGATGGCCGCTGGTTTTTTTTCTACTAATATTTATCTCAAACACCTAGTTTAAAGTTAGTTTCATGTTATTTAAATTGTTTTGGTCCCTGTTTGTTATTTTAAATCAATAATCTGTGATATTTTGTAAAATTTGACTTAAATAAACTTATTTAAACAAATATATTCATCAGCTACCTCTCCCGCACATTACTACTGCAGCCGAATTGATTACGCTAAAACGATAGATTACCCAAGTGTTTGCCTTAAGAGTCCATTAAATCTCAACAGTAGCTCAGTTCCAATGCCCTCAACGATAGATCTAGACTTGAAGTTGATGAGCCAATGAATGACATTTGTTGATTATGAATGATTTTATATAGATTAAGTTCCGCGTGTGGTCAAAACCACGGTGTAGTCACATTCCTGTTTATGGCTTCGTATAATATTTGTTTGGGTGTTTCATACGAAACTACCAATATCTGCTGTAAACATGTCCATTTCTAAATATATCCAGGTCAAATTCTTTTGTTTCCCTCCTTCTGGAAGACGAGTTTTTAAATTTTCAAGTTTCGAGGTATGACGTCGTAGGCGATTCTAGTTCCCCCTATGAAAAGCACTAGGTCCCGGATGAGATGAATAAAACCAACCAATCAAAGCTTTTTATACCTAGGTTAACTATAAATAGCTTCTATTTATGTGCGGGACACTGAAAATACTGTAGTTAAGGCTATTAAAAGAATCTTAGTGGTGAAATGGGGGTGATCACAGCTGGGGTAACGATTTTTGTGTTTTAACCTCGCTGTGGACACCAACGACTTGAGCTAGACTAGCCTAGATCTAGATGCTCTATATTTCAAGCTAAGTCTAGAACCTATATAATTTCTAATTTTTTCTGTTGTTTTAAATTATTTTAATCATCTACTTCTTCTAAATCTAGTTTGTGTCTCTACATACAATCCAATCGAAGCAAATGTTACGTTTTGTCTTGTTAGTGATTGTTACGTCCCTTTGTTATGATTATTAAAGTTGCGTCCCTTGAGTCATCACTGGGTCATCCGTAATTTGTTGTTAATAAATTTAATTAACGTGTTATTATTTGGTTTTGCAAATCTATTAATTAATTATACAATCATCAACACGTTTAAATGAGTATAATTATGAGTTCAATTATTAAAATTGGATCAAAACGTAAAAAATAGTGATCACAAGCAGGGACAGGTGACCACAGGCAAGAAAAAAGGGGGGAAAAGTAGATCACAAGGAGGTTCGTTACTAAAACATGAATATCTCAAATACTATGCGTATGAATACAAAATAACTCATGCATATTAAATATTAGAGTAGAATGGCAGTGGAGTAATAAAGTACTTTCGGTTTGTTTCTGTGTGAAACGGTTACAAAATAGCGCCCGATGAAAATCGGGAGTTTGGAATTTGTCGCTATATGTGACCACACGAGGAACTTTACTATATTTACTTTTAATTTTATGTAGTAATATGTAGGCCTACTATGTAGGGTATCTGTAGGCACTGCACAGTTCTACCTGTATCCAATCCATACATTTCCTCTCTTGTCTCTTAAACTACTCACTGCTGTGTCCAACAACTTAAATAGGAATTAAATACAACATTGTCATTAGCCGGCCTAATTTGTACATTTAAAGTGGTTAGGGTGTATAGTTTGTGTTAACAGTTACACATGAAGTACTTTCTGTTTTAAGGCTCAAGCCTATTTTATTTTGGTGCATCCCCTTTGAGTTAACCTAAATAATAAAAGTTAACTAAAATAATGGATTTACTATTTAAACCGCAGACCTTTAACTATTTGAATACTGAAACACTAGATCATACCTTCCAAATATTTTGTGCAACATATTTACTTTTATATTTAATATAACCTTGTTTCATCGTTGTTTGAATTTAATTTGTGTTAGGAGGTTAGTAGGTAGTATTGTATTTTCAGTTTTATTTATGATAAGAAATTAGGGTTTTGTGCAATGTTAGGACTTGGGGTATGTGTAATCTTATGTTAGCTAAAACATTAGTTAATCATATTTGTATTTAGTTAACTACCAATCATCTACCACCCCCTCCTTTTAATAATATTCCACTATTGTTGTATTATCATATTTAGGTATAATACATACAAACACTGACTATTGGATGTTTAAAGTTAGACCAATAAAAAATGAAGTAGTAAAGTAATTATAATAACAGGCTTTGAGTGTTGAGTTATTTCCATTACTTTATAACTAACAAACTAATGTAGGCCCTTTTTTATTATAGTTTATTACATTGGTACAGTGCCCTACCTTTTATAAACTTCATATTCATCTTTAAGTATCACCCAAATAATTCAATCTCTTCCATAAACAAGCTCTAAGTTAGTACTCTATGGATAATTAATTGTAATAACTTTAAAATAGTAAGCGTATAGCAAAAGGGGAACTATTGCCACCTTTTAGTATACTATCACCTAAATGTATGATTTTGTTAAGTTATCTTTTTGACATGAATTGCAGTAATTAATGTTACTCATTGTAGTTTATTCTCTTCATAATTTTTATTCTTGTTGAAAATATAGGAAGCTACTTTGGTACACACTTTATAATGGGTGGTGAAAGATTTGAATCACCCCAACCTGGGGAATATCTTTTTGGAGACAGTGAGGAGTTAAATTTTCTAGGAAATAAACCAGTACCTGTAAGTATTAAACATTTAAAAACTCAGAGCTTATCATATATTCATACAGTATATGCAAGTTCAAATAATTTTGTACCTAGTAATGTTAGAATTTATGTTTCTTTGTTTAAAGGTATAATGATTTTTTCTTTGCAGTTTCCATATCCAGTTCCTTCAGGAAATGATCCTACTAAAACTTTGAAAAGTTTGGTTTACATCCGTAAAGATTCATTGCGATTGGTCAAGTAAGTTAGCTGTGTTATATCTGAGTTATTATTTTTGTTTTCATCGAAGCAAAGAGATAAAAACGATTTTTTCAACTTATGTTCCTATAGCTGTTTTATAGAAAGTGAGACATTCAAAAAGCTTAATTTACAACTGTTTTTTAAACAAACTAATTCTGTTTAACTCAACTTGATGATTAAAAACTTTCACAGAGCACCAATGACTGACAAAATGCCTCTTGAGGGCTGTACAGGGAATCCATACAATGTTGAATTTATCATTGACACTGATGTGAGATGTGCAGTTCGAATTCATTACTTCGCAGAAGAAGATGTAATTAACGGACAGGTTATGTAAGTAATTTGGTTGTGTTAGGTTATTGTGACCTATTTTTATTCCTAGATATTATTTTTGTTGATAGTTTAAAAAATTAGTTCTAGAATTGCTTAGTTTAATTCTGTTTACTTGTGTAATTACAGATATCGTTCAAGAAGTAGTTCAGAGACATACCATTATAAACGTGGAGCTGGTCAGAATTTTAACCAGCCATCTCACACAATAGACCCTAGTAAATATGCTGATGAAGAGGTATGTAGAAGTCTTGTTATATAACTTTCCTAATGGCTTTTGATAAACCTTTTGTAAGCAACAGATATGCCTACTGTCCTGCCAGAATCGTTAAATGTATAAAAATTGCATCTTGTTCCACCATTCTGCTTTTATTGAAGTTTGTTCCGCTATATAGAAAAATAAGCAGAAACATATGGAGGAAAATAGTATATGATCATCCCATTGCGCGATTTAACTAAAAAGAAATGTTACAATGATAACGACATGATTTAGCATTTATTTGTTGTTGATGTGGCTTACTACTAGCTAATATTTAGCAAGTTAGGAACATGTGAACATGGAAAGCAAACCAAAGAAAATAGTTCAAGATTATTCTAGCATCAACTTTGTTGAATCAACCCTATATTGTTGTAACAGCATAAATTATGGTTGTTTTATAGTTAAATGGGGTTGGTACAAGTTCAGCACCTCCATTTTTTGTGGCCCAACAGTGTTTTTTTTTTAATTTGAATTGTCTAACATTCCCTTTATTTTTTACAATTAGTGGCAGTACAGTTTTGACAAGGATGTTTACCCTATAGCAATACACTGTGTTGTAGAAGAAGAAGGTTAGTATATTAATTATATAGGCAGTGTTTGCTGTCATTTGATTTATACATATCAACATGAGTTGCTTTAAAAATCTAAAAGTTAAATCTGTGTTTTTATCAACTGGTAAATATTTTACAAGTTAGGTTAAAATTGTTATGAAGTGAAAAATAAAAGGAAATTTATTTATTTATTAAAATTATTTAACATATTAAAATTCACCTAGATACTTTATACTGCAAACTGTCCAGTCATTGAGAAATGTTGCTTCCCATACAAACAAGCAAAGTGGCTATATTTAAAACCATGACACATTTAAAATAAATTTCAAAATATCCATCCATTAAAAAATCTAAAAGCACTATACAGAGTAATAGTTTTGGTTTATTGTATTTGAGTCTTTAAAAAAACTTAATCTATATATATAAACATTAAATAAAATTAATATCAAACCTAGAAAACCATTTAAAAAAACAAAAAAAATATAAAGCTTTTTATATTTTAGCAAAAAGGATACTCAAAATTAGTTTTTACATATCACTATTTTATTTACATTATAATTGACTCAATTCCTTAAAAGTTAAAAAAAAATTACTAAGTTCCTGTTTTTAAAATTAACAGTCTATGGGGCAAGTGAAGCAGGGCACTTTAATTAGTTTCAAGTTCACAAGCTATAATTACAATGAATGAACTGCTGTATAGATGACCACAAAGGGTCTTTCAAGCACCAAAATCCAAACTTTTACATATGTCCTTGTCTATTCCAGAGCATGCTGGCCATGCACACATCACCTATGCTGTGTTGGAGAAAAGTGCTGAAGGAAGCTACACTATGAAACCTCTGAAACAGAAACAAGTTGTTGATGGCCTCTGTTATCTTTTACAGGAAATTTATGGTATTGAAAACAAAAATATGGAGAGAATTAAGGTAGAGTACATGTAAAATATAAAAACAAACTTCCTATTTTATGACAGAGTGTTTTGAATACATTGTATCATATTGTTTACCCTGAAAATATACAGCATTTATTCCATGGTTCAGTTAAATAATTTTTATCCTGGGTACAGTAAAAAAGATTGTAAAAACTACAAAGATGTTTCTTTAAATAATACTGAACTTAGCCTTGCTTGAACCATGAGTGTGTATTACTAACCAGTTATTTTTTTTTACTTAAAATTTTAAATACTAGTTCTACTTATTGTGTAGTCCTCCGAATAGATTGCTGTCTTTGATTATATGTGCCATCCTATAACAATTAATTAACCTGTTATACCATTTTTGAAACTCCCATTTTTTAATAAAAATTGTAACAACTAATTCCAGGACGTTGACCCAGACGATGAGGTAGAAGACAGCGGTGCTGAATGTGTCATCTGCATGTCTGACATGAGAGATACATTGATATTGCCCTGTCGACATTTGTGCTTGTGCAGCAGCTGTGCTGATTCTCTGCGGTACCAGGCCAGCATGTGCCCAATATGCAGAGTCAAATTTAGAGCCTTACTTCAGATCAGAGCTATGAGGAAAAAAGTAGTTCCAACTTCTACCAACTCACCACAGGTTAGAATATTTTAGTTTCATTGAAGGTTATCTTGTCTTATCTAGTATACTTAAAATGTATATATGAATTTCAAAATTTGTTTTAAATGTTATTCATTGGTAGTTGTACTGTATTTTTATGTTATGTTTTTCATGAAAAATGACATCATTTACATGGCTGTGGTGAAATATTCTTGTACCAATATTAAACTATTACTTTTTATCAATGCTGAGAATAATTATGCTGACTTACTTATACTCTGGATAGTCTGACACTGAGGAAAACCCAGTCAACCAAGAAGGTGTACCCCAGGGATATGAAGCTATTTCACTCATTGAAGCACTTAATGGGCAAGTGGTGCCACCAATAAGTAACGAAGGTAAATGAATACTTTTCTGAGTGACTTATTCAATATTATTTTTTAGTATAATTTTAATACTAATTTTAATTTTTTTTTTCACAGGTGTACATTTACAAATATCTAGTCCTTTGACAGTTGGTTTATATTGTGTTGAGAAAAAAGGACAGAAAGAAACAAAGTAAGTCCATGTCTGTTTACATTTGCTTAAAACATCATCATTAAAGCATGAAAAATGTATATTTATGAGTTTGTTCTTTTAGATTGTAACTTATTGCTTATGAAAAATAAATTCCAAAATCTGTTCGTTGCAGGGTGTTAGTGTCTGGCCCCATAGAGTATCAGAAAGAAATGGACACTGATAAAGAAAGCAGCAAAGGAACATTGGAAAAGAAAAAAGATAAAGACAAAGTCAGTGGACCAAAGAAAAATGTAACTATAACTAAGAAAAAAAAGTGAAAGAAATTTTCATGCAATTTTACAGTGCTACATTTCACAATAACCCTTTTTTTTTGTAAAAAAAAGAAAACACCTACTTTTAAAGTTGCTCTGAATATTAAGGAGGGAAACTTGAAATTATAATATTAAAATAGTTCTGGACAGGACACCCACCTTTTGAAGTTTTGTAATGGTTTTTAAAAGAGTTGCAATTTTAAACCTGGTGGTCCATGTGGCAGATGAAGTAGTGTTCACATGTTTCTGTGACCTCGGCATATAAAAGGGACAGAGTAGTCAGCACTATTCCCAGGCACCTTTACTTTTCCGTGAACCCATTAGAGCTGCATGGATTCAGGGCACAGAGACCAAACTTGAGACTTTTGGGTTGCCAGTCATACTTTGAAATAGTTTAAATTTTTGTAATGGTTTAACAAACTTATATTATAAATTGCATGATTAAAAAAAATATTTTAAAAATTATAATGCTTACCTGTAAATATTATTCCTTCAGGTGGTTGATACAACAGATGTTACGTCTACAGAGGCCACTTCAGATGCTACACCAGATGAAGTTGTACCCAGACCTATAATAAAAGAAATTGTGCCCTCCCCTCTCAAGTCTACAGTAGTCACTGTTAGGTTAGTAGGTACAAATACTCAGTTGATAGCATTATAATTTGTTTCTACACATAGTCCAGAAAATCTTATTTTTAATAAACAAATGAAAATTTAAACCGTTAGGATATGTACAAATACTCATTTGATAGCAATTATACCTTGTTTCTACATCATCACCTTTTCCTGTATGTTCCCAAGACACGTGGGGCAGATGAAGTAGAGTACATCTGTTTTATTGACCTCAGCAAACAAGGGCATAATGTGGTCACCACTATTCCCAGCTGTCTTTTTTTCCTTAACGTGAGCTAAGTACCTATCAGAGCTGGGTGGACTCAGGGACGTTCTACTGATTTGAACCCGGATTTGAACTAGAGACTTTTGGGTTAGCAGTCTATTTTCAAATAAACAAATGAATATTTGTTTTAAACATTGGCAGATGCTCACCTGATGGATCTATAAAAACAGAAACCAAAATTTCTCCTGTCAGGGAAGCAGAACTCATACCACCTCAGATCACTCGGACACTGCATGATGTAAGTAGAATTAAAGGATATGTTTGGTAGAGCTAAATAAAAATACTATTTTAAGTTGAATTCTTTTCATGCAGGAAATATTTTTTTCCGTTGTTTTTTTTTTTAAACTTAAAATTATATTTAACCAATTTAGTGATGTAATAATAGTTTTCCAGTGTATGAGCCTGTGCTTTTTATTGCATAGTAATTGTTTATGTTTAAATGATCAACAGAGAAGCTACAAGACAAACATCAACCTAACAAGATTGACGTGTGGTCTTTCAACTGGAGACATGGCAGATGATGAGAGGGAAGATAGTTCAGAACCAGAGCCTGACTATGATGACAGAGATAGTGGTAGTGTTTCCATCCTCTTATTTTGTTTAGCTCTTGTTGTGTTGTGCAATCATTTAAACAACTTTAATATATAACCCTGAATATTATACATTTTAATAACATCATTAGTAAGCCATAAATAAAATACAACTTCAATGCTTAATTACTATATAGTTAAATAACAATTTTGGAAGTGGTTACAAATTAGAGTAAATTGTAGTGACCTTTTAGGCCTAATAAGTGAAGTCTTTTTTTTTTTACCTATGCATATTAATTCATTGTGTGTCCAACACAATGTCCACCTGCCTTTACTTACCTCAAGTCAAGCTTCCATCTAAATGGTGTGACTTGGCAATATCTTAGTCTCTAGTCCAGGAATTAAACACAAGGCTACAACTATCAAGTTTGATATAAGTTGATTAAATTTTTTTCAATGCAGATGATCTTGCAATCACCCCAACCACAAGCAACCAAGACCTGTACAGCGGCATCTCTGCTTCGGTGAGTTTTTCAGAGTTGCCACCTGCCTCCCTGCAGTATGAATCTGACTGCTCTGTCAAATACAATTCCCATGATGTTTCTAGCCTGACTGACACCCACCACAGTGGGACTGACGGATCCAGCTTTGGGAGTAATAGCTCAGGACATGCTCTGCTGTCACCTGATGAACAGAAACATGCGTCGGATGACATCAAGAGTGGTGAGGAAGATGAAGAAGTGCATGAATAGGTTATCCTACAAGAGGTTCTTTGTCTAACTTCATTCACTCATCCTTTACAATAAAAATGTGGACTGGTAAATTTAATGAAATTTAATTATAAAACATAAATGAATTTATAATTAATGTACCCTTTTAAAGCGGAGAAAGTGTGCTATCAGAAAGCATTCAAAACAAGCTACTCTAATGCCAGACATCTGCTCGAAAACATGGCTGTGATAAATGTGGTGACGAAACAAAACATCAGCGTTTGTCTTGACATTCCGTAGCTCAAACAGTCCTAAAGAAAATTATAGTCAATTATTAAACTTGCTTTCAACAGTGAAAAAGAACTCAAAATCATGCCAATATGTTCTAGCATATTTTTGTTTCTAAATTGTATCCGGTAAAATTTAAAAATCTATGACTATTCATCAATTCAAGTATTGCTGCATTTAATGTGAGTTTGTGTTAAAAATATCTTACATGTTGTTGAATATGTTGTATAATTTCTGTAGGTGTGGTTGGTTAATCAACTTGTTTTTGTAAAACCAACTATTCAAAGAAATCATGTTAAAAATGATTGGAAGAATGTTTATCACTTGAGTTTAAACAGACTGAGCTGAGCCACTGTTGATCAGTTAATTGTTGCCATATACTTTTTGTACCTTGTCAAATCTTGTTGCCAAATGCAAATCTTTTGAAAACACTGATTATTTGTTTTAAAAAACTTCACTGTTAGTAATCTTTGGTTGTATTATATTGAGATCCTTATGTATATTTTGTTAAAGGTATACTTTTTCAGTACCTTATCAAGTACTTGTAGATCTGAGTGTGTTCATGGATGTATATTCAATTTGGATTTTTTTTTTCAACAATTATTTTTGTAAATAAGTATGTAAATTGTATAAATTAAAAGATTTTTGCATGTTATTTATCGAAATGTAATTACATATTTTAGGCAGTGTCAGGGTGTATCCAATAATGATTTTAGGAACTAAAGTGGGAGAGAAATGAAGCATATATAAATGTAGTTTTTTTGTGTTTTTTTAAGTTTATAATAATTTTAGCCCCCAGTTCCTATACTAAAAAAAAAAGAAGTATTTTAAAGATCATACATTTTATTTTATAGTTTGTCAAATGTGCATATATTAAGCATCCATCACAAGGGAATCAATCCTTCCTGTCTTTCCTTATCATTAACCAAGAATTTCTGTTTCTTGCCATAACCACATTATAGCCTGTATCCTTGCAACACATGGTAACACATAAGTGTGTATTACTAAAATATTAGAATAAAATAAATGAAAAAGAAATTAAATTTTTCAAAATTGTTTTTCTTTAGCCTATGTTGCAGACAGGCAGGCAAAATTAAAATTTTTCATGCTGTGATAGAAACAGTGAAGTTTAAATAAATAAATCAAGGAAAAGATAGAACAGTTGTTTTCACCTTAGGTCTTGATTAGATCATTTAAAAAAAAAACCAAAGTGTAATTAGTAATTACATGTTGTTAGGTTTTTGTTTGTAATCATTTATACAGTTACTAGTTTTTTTTTAATATATCAGAAAATTTCATTGTATTAAATAAATTCAATGCAAGACCTTTTTGATTTAAAATTATAAAAACTCAAGTTTCATAAACATGGCCTTTTTTGTGTGCATGTTTCCGTAAGAAATTAACGTTTTTTTTACCACAAAGATAACTCTTGTAGCTGCAGACATTATATTAAACTGTCTGGTTTTGGTTATTTTTTAAAATTATATTTTATATAGTGGACATTTTTTAAACAGTAGTTTGCCAGTTTAAATTGCTTAATAATGTAGCACAGCATATAACTTTTGTATTTTTAAAATGTATCATCTGATTTAAAGCGTACATCAAGGACTTATCAATTATTAATCACATACTTTCTAAATTACAAATGTAAAAAAAAATATCATGCCCCTAATTATTTTTAAGTTATAAAAGTTTTAGGCTACTCTGGCCTTATGGTTGTACCCATTCTACTTTTTTTATGCAATGAAGTAAAAGTGTGCGTTAAATTAAATACTTGTTTTTAACTCAGTGTGACCACAATTGTTGATAAAATGCAAATTTAATTTGAAGCTAAGCTAATTAGTTTAAAATAAAGTATGACTCTTGGGCTCTTATAAATGTTTACATGTTCAATCATCGCTTTTTAAGTTAAGCAGGACTTAGTGAAGATTAGAAGAATTCATACGGAAACCACTATTCCCTATTTATTTACTTAAGTTACTTCAGCTTTAAGTTGTACACACTTAGCTTGTATCAATCATTGAATTGTAATTTAATGATTCTTCTTGTTAAAAATTGATTGTATGAAAAAAAAATAATGAAATAAAATGTTGATAAAATTAAAATCAAAACTTTGGTTATGTTATTTCATATGGTGTTTTTAATAATGATTGATCAATGCTACCTTAAGCTACAAGTTAGTGACTTCATACTTTATGTTTGTGGCCTTTAGCTACAAGTCTTATTTTCAATTTTGTAACCATAAGCTCCAAGAATGTGACCTAGAAGTATGTTTTTTGTGTTGTTACTGTTGACTCCCCAGGGAGGGGGTGTCTAAACGTGATGGCACTAAATCAAAGCAAATAATGCTCAGTGACAAGATGGTTAAGGGATGGCCTATAAGTACATCAGCAGGCGAGAGGTTTTATTTCAAGTATATTTATTTTTTTTCGTATTTATTTAATTATTAAAAACGAGCCGACCCGCGGCATATCATACGCCGCTATTTAGTTGTTTTATTTTCTACTTTTCAGTAATTCATAATTTATGAATTCGACCAATGCTGCCACTGAAAATATTTGCTTTAGGTCGTTAAGGACGATACTACCCCCCCCCCCCTCCTTTCCCCAACCCCTACCCCCCCCCCCTCGTGAAAGCAGCCTCCTCTTAGTTACCTCCTCTAAGTTAAAAATCGTTTCAAACTAAATTATCTGCCCCTAATAGCCGTCACTAAACCCGGCTCTACAAATGTAAACATTTAGCGTGAACCACAGCTCACCAGACCATGTAGGGGAGGGGAGGAAGGGAGCGCACTTACAGCTTGTTTTCTAGCGTCTCCAAGAAGAGAATTTTATATATATATATAGATAGATATATGTTTACTTCATAAAACGTGATCTTTGGTGTCTGTCTGAAGAGTTGGACTTTTGAAGCTTCTATGACCATGATTTGCTAGCACCTCCAGTTTTATGTAGGTCTATTGAGTAAAGATTTTTTGTTTCTCTTCTTTCTTCCATGGTTATTATTTTAATTATTTTTTCTTTCAAGTAAGTCTAGGGTCGAAAATGACAATGCGCTGACTTAGCAAACGCGTACAGTGTTCCTTCCAGGCATCTCTTCGGGCGGCCCCCATCAGGGTGCGATTTGGCGCCCCGTTCTTTTGGGCGGTAGTGTGCCCCGATAAATACGATCCAAGCGCAGGCATTGTTTGCATTTAAACAACTCAGTTTTAGAAAACAAGGTCACGCCTCTAAGAATAGCATAGGTAAAGCATTGATGAAACCCTTCTTACATATTTCATCAGATTTTGTCTTTTATTAATTGCTACACCCAGAGTTTCTTCCAGGCATCTCTTCGGGGGGGGGGCGAAGAAAGTCTACCCCCCCCCCCCCGAACGAGATGGAATTTATATAGTAAACATACACTTTTACTTTTCCGCCCCGCCCCCCCCCCCCCGCGAAAAATGTTAACCCCCCCCCCCCAATATCAAGTCGCCTTCCCCCCCCCCCCCCCCCCGGAGAAAAAAAGTCTGGAAGAAACACTAGCTACACCTTTCATCTGATCGCCATAAAACTTTGGGAAGTTGTTGAGAATCCTTCTGGGGAGGTTTCTGCAGAAAAAAAAATTCAATTTCGCACGGGCTGAGCAATTTGGCTCTCTGGAGCCTACGTTCGTTCAAAAACAGTACGATAGACTATAAATAAAATGGGGCGTTTAGTCGTTCACTAAATAGAATCATGCGCGTTCGCCGGCGCACGACATGGTGCTCTATGGCGCCCCGGTAGCGCTATAGCACATACGTTAGTTTTAAAGAGTGTGATAGAAAATGGATAAAAAGTAGTGTTATAGTCGTTCACTTAACTGAAACAGGCGCGTCCGACCAGGCCACGGCCAGAGTTTCTTCCAGGCATCTCTTTGGGGGGGGGGGGGGGGGGGCAAAGCCCCCCGAAAATTTTTTACCGCCCCCCCCCCCCGAACGAAATGAAATTTATATAATTTATATAGAAAATATATACTTTTAACAGTGTCCGCCCCCCCCCCCCGAAGAAAGTTTACCACCCCCCCCCCGAAAATTTCAAGTCCCCCCCCCCCCCCCGGAGAAAAAAGTCTGGAAGAAACACTGGCCACGGCAGTGTGCGATATGCCCCGAGCTATCCTGGGACTTTTAACCAGCGGCAACTAGCTGGGAGGGGCACGCTAGTATAAAATAAGAGTTCAAAAAAGTTTGAGCTCCCCCCGCCCCCCTTTCTCCCCCAAAATACGTCTACGCTGCAGATATTTTGAATTACGTAATAAGTATTTTTTTTTTTTCAGTTTCAGACCAGGGGCTAGATCTACATTTTCTTATAAAATCATAAATAAAACAACAGGATTTGTAATTGTAATAACATTTGTATTGACAGTTCCTTATAATTAAAACATTGTCGCAATCATTCTTCGCGGGGAGGGTATTCTTGGAATGAACGACGCTATATTATGTACGCTTGTTTAGAATTAGGTCAATGCAACAAATCAATAGACTAGGCGTAGGTTTAGCACTGAAGCATTGGAGTTAGAAATCTTTGACTACAGAAGCTGAGCCAACGAAACGAACTAAATTTTCTAGATTTGTTAGCAGAGCAATGTCGGAAAACGAATGCTCATCGGCGTCTAAAAAACGCTGCGGAGTGACCAGTAGTTACCCAAATCAATGTGACAAGAAATCGAAACCTGATATGTAAGTCCATATTTTAAAAAAAATTAAAGGTTATTGATGATCTACTACTCCACTACTACTCTACTACACACGGACACTAAACTAACACTGGAAAAGTTTTTAATATATTAGATAATATTACAGAACATTGACCTACTTTATTTTAAATCTAAATTTATGGCTCACTTATTTAAAGTTGTATTCATAAGATAATATATTTATTATTATTGTACATGTCTAGTAAGTCATAAAAATTGCGAATCATAAACAAATATCTTTAAAATTTAAACCGAAACGACAAAATGTTGAAAACATAAACATGCCGGCCCGATTACTCATTAAGTATTCACAGTTTTAAGGTGAAAAGTTCAGCGATCGTACCAATTTTATAAAGGGTGATTAAATTATGTATTTTTTTTAGAAAATAGATTTTTTAATCGGCAAAAAAGGTATACCCTTTTAAATTGAACTGTAGTTTTAAACACCAAAATGTTTAATCAAAGAAATTGATTTATAAAAATATAAGGCATGAAAACTATATATTTCAATTATATTTTATGAAGCTTATCCTCCTTAATTCAGACTAGTCCAATGTATTGTGGTATAAATTAAGCCGTGAACGCGTGTCAGATCCTTTCTGAGTTGATAGGGTTTTACTCTTAAGGCTGTGAAAAGAATAATGGCACAGTGAGTGAGATGAGAGACCTCTTAACGTATTTTTATCCAAATAAAAAAAAAATACACTCTTGGCCTTGAGTTTGAAACATACATTGAACATTGATACAATGGAAACTTTATTTTTTAGGCTAGTCCTGTTGGTAGACCTGTAGAACCTTTAGAGATCAGAGACATTCAGAATAGGCCTAGACAAAAAATCTAGGCTTGCTATAGTTACATATAGTATAGATAGTATAGTATAGACTACCTAATAAGTAATAAAGAAGAGAGGGAGTAGCCAACTTGCATATAGATCTCAATAACACAAAAGACAATAGTATATTAAGTAATAATAATATATTATGCTAATCTATGTATTAAATATAGTTAGGCCTATCTAGATCTAGTTGTACTTCATATTCATAGCCATAGGACATAGGAAGTAGCCTAAATAGTAAATACTCAATAAATACTATCATTCAAGCTGTATCCTTAGGACTGAATTAATAGGCCAGTTTAATATGCCTGGATCTATCTGTATGAAGATCAGTGTCTACATGATACATCATATAATTTTCTTATTTTAACTTTATTAATATTAGTTGGTGTTGCAACAACATATTGTCATTATTATTATTATATTATTAGTTTATAAATTTACCGTTTCTATAATCATCAGAGAAGGCATTATCCTGGGATATGGTAATCCTCTACTTGACATTTCTGTTCAAACTGACACAGAATATTTAAACAAGTAAGATTTTTCTTCTTAGAAATTTTTAATGTAACTATTTGTTTCCTTTCTTAGACACATCACAGTCAGAATGTTGCCTTTCTTTGACACATCACAGTCAGAATATTGCTTATCTATCCAGCCATATACATAAAAACTCTGTTTCAGATGATATAGCACACTGTAGTGTAGTATATCTAATACTAGACTAATACTTACTACTTAAACTATCTTTTTCTTTAAGCTGTAACTCCAAAACTGATACCATAAAAAAAATTACTAGGCCTAAATACTGTAATTGGATGCTTAGCTCTAGTTTTTTTTTTTTTTTTTTTTTATGGGATCAGGTTTAACATTAAAAAATCTTATTTCTATTACGCTTAATGAAATAATTTAGTTGGCCTTTAAAATCCTTTAAAAATTTTTCCTGTTAGATATGACTTGAAAGCTGACAATGCTATCCTGGCTGAAGACAAGCACAAACCAATGTAAGTTTTAAATACTAGTTTTATACCTAATATGATTATATATTATATAATGTTAAACTTATCAGAATTAGACCTGCCACTTTTAAAGGTCAATTGGAAAGTTTCTGTTTACCTGTATGCTTTAATAAGATAAACAATTAACAGGTATGCAGAGTTGGTAGAAAAATACAAAGATGTTGAATTTGTGCCAGGTGGAGCTACTTTAAACGTAATGAGAGTTGCACAGGTAATGTATAAAATGCATTCTCTTTTAAGTGTCATCGATTTAGTGATGACATTCACAAAAAACTGAATTATTGACCTCCAGTCAAAGACTTCTACTTTGGACAAAACTCCTTGTATATTGATTAGTATAAGTCTGTTTATTTGAAATTTAAAGTGTATCTCTGAAATTTATCACAGCTTGTCTCCCCTTTCCATAATGACATATCATAAAAGGGGGACCCCTTACAATTTAAGAGAAGAAAAACTTCATTATTTGATTCTTAAATTATACTCTAATGCTTTTCTTGTGGTTAAATTTTTATAGTTTTTAAATGGCAATCGACAGGATTGGTACTCTGAATTTAGGCATGGCTGTTGTACAGTTTTTGCTGGTATTAACATCCCTGTCCTGACCCCAACACAGTTATTTCAAAACAAAATTAATACAATTTGGAAATGCCCTGCCACCATTCATCAAAGTACTCAGTTTTATTTTAAAGGTAGAAAATTATCCGGACCATCTAAACAAAAAAGAATTTCTAATTTTTCAGAAATTATTAAAAGTTCCCAAGGCAACATCTTTTCTAGGATGTATAGCCCACGACAAATTCGGAGAAATTCTCACCAAAGCTGCACAGGATGCAGGTGTCAATGTCAAATTTCAGTACACAGATAAAGAGCCTACTGGAACATGTGCAGTTATTTGCACAGATAAAAACAGGTGAATTTTTTTTCTTGAATTTTGAGACAATGATGATCTTTCTTTAATATTGAGATACATTTTATAACCAAAGCATTTTGTAATAGTAAGCTAATTTATTAGCAATAGATGGTTGCTTCATTGGTGTTGCAATTTAACATAGAAACCAATTTATAAGTATAATTATAATTTTTGTTTTCGTTATTTTTTATTGTATTAGTCACAAAGTACACACATGTTTTGAGTACTTATTTCTGTTGTTTTTATTTTCTTAGGTCCCTTGTAGCAAATTTAGCTGCAGCCAATTGTTTTACAGAAGATCACCTCGATGATCCCGATATCTGGGCAACTGTGGAGTCTGCCAAGTATTTTTACTTTGCTGTAAGTTTGTTTTAGGTTACAGCTTTTATTTTCTCCCCTTGGCCAGTGAATCTAGAAGATTCTTCTCAGATTTGGACTTTTTGTGCTTGTCTTGATCGCTGTTAAGGTCTTGATATCTTCATCATTTTCTGAATTACAGTTTTTTTTAAAAAAAGTTAATAGTTATTCATTCAGGATATTTGCACAAATTAATCTCCATCAAACTTTTATCTAGGGGTTTCCTTTGACAGTGTGCCCAGCAGCTATGCTCAGAATTGCCAAACATGCTGCACAAAACAACAAAGTTGTGTCAATGAACATGTCTGCTCCATTTCTCTGCAACTTTTTCAAAGACCCAATGCTTCAATTGTTACCCTACACTGACTATTGGTTTGGTAATGAATCGGTGAGACTCTTTTTTTTCAATTCAAACTTTAATTAATTAAATCTTTGTTTTGTAACAAAATTGTTATACTATATCTTGTATATATTTACAGGAATGCTTAGCGTTTGCTGAAGCTAATAAGTTAGAAGTGAGTATGAATTAGTACTGATTTTAAGTTTTTTCCCAAGTTACACTTTAATTTAAACTTTACCTCTGTGAGAACTGAAGGTTTTTAATTTGGCTTCTGGTGATTTTTCCAGACAACAAATATAGAAGAAATCGCCAAAAAGATTGCAGGTTGGGATAAAGTCAACAAGTCAACTCCTAGAACTGTTGTAATCACACAAGGAAAGGATCCTGCTATATCTGTTGTAGGTAAGTTGTGGTGTAATGAACAGTTTGATATAGTTCATTTTTTCCCATTCAATTTATAACAATACTACTATGTGTAGAAATAGTTTTGCATGTTTTACAAGTTCTTCTTTTTAAAATGCAAGATGTGATATTGGTAACAGCATTACTACTCACTGGAGTATGTTACTCACTGAGCCTTACTTTTGTATTCATTTTATTTTTGTTCAGCTAGAGTAACAAATATTATGAATTGCATGTCATCAATTTAGGCAGATGATGTGTGAAATAATTTTTTTTTACTTATTACACAATTTATCTTATATTTGTCAGTTTTCACTAGATATTTGAGAATTACACATTTACTATTTGTTGATTTACATTGTATTAATGATTTTATTTTCACAATAGATGGTAAGGTAAAAGAATATCCTGTGATATTAATCAACCAAGAAGACATTGTGGACTCAAACGGTGCAGGGGACGCTTTTGTCGGAGGTACTTGCTTTAGTCCAAAACTACGCACCTAGATACTTATCTTTCTAGTTAGGATCCTAGACTTTAAAATACATATATATTTTATTGGTGGTTGCTACTTTTTTTTATAGCTAAAGTAAACCCCACATGATTTCCTGTACATAATTGAAAAATTGACCTATAGATGTTTACATAATGAAATTAATACCTTTTTATTTTTTAACTAAAAGCTTTTCTTTCTGTTAAAGGGTTTTTAGCAAAACTGGTTGAAGGTGGTTCTCTGGATGAGTGTGTGGCCAGTGGACACCAAGTTGCTAATTTGATCCTACAGAGTACAGGCTGCACTTTCCCTGAGAACAAGCTCATCAATTAATTCCTCTCATGTTGATAATGACATTCAAATTGTTCAGCACTTCACTATGGTTAAGACTACTATATATGTAACTTTGGGCAAAGATGCTTTTATTTTTTCCTGGGATCAAATATTTTAATGCTTCAAATTTAGCATAAAAAATGTATTAAAAAATATATTCTTTTAGTAGAATGAGAAGCAAAATTTTAAAATTTAATGGCCAGTAGTGTTAAACCTAACTGATGATTATGTACTAAAAATCAAGTGATTTTTTTTTTTTTTTGCTGACTAATACTCAAGTCATGAGGCATTACTTAACTTAGACATTATGTGCATACAATCCTAGAATCTATGTTGATTTTCAAATGTTGCTTTTTTACCATACAATTTTACAACTGGGCATGTGGCATTTCTCTCGTACAAATTGCCATTCAATATCAGCCTATTTTAATTTTAACAAATTTAAAATCAAATTTTGATGTAGCCAGAACTCATTGGTGACAAATTATTTAATCAGAAGTCTCATTTAAGTAAATAATTTTGTTGTTGCTTTAGTGCAATTTTTTAATATGGTTATTTTATTTTATTTAAGAACTCTCTGGTCTGGTTTAGAAAGTAGAATATCTTACTTCTATTTTTTTTATTCCCATGCCATTTAATACACTTCTATTATTTGTTACAAATATTGTTAAAAAAATGTAGATTTAAAAGGTTTTTTTTGTAAACAATATACTTATCCAGTCACAAGCAATAAGCAATCTTTCTTAATTTTTTAAAATTGCATTTTACACATAATCAACAGTTGTTGGCAATAATTGTGCCTTTAAAAGAAAACTTACAAACAAGAATTTAAATCAACGTGAAAGGTTATGTTGTATATTCCAGCACCACATACTATTATTATCTCATTTATTTTAGTTATTGCTTGAATCCTTCAAACAGCATTTTTTATATCCTAGCAGCTCATATTGTAACCATAATACAAGAAACGAAACAACTCTCAAAATCCATGAGCTTTCTGGACAAGGAATGATTTTTAAAAAGATAAATTACTAGAGGTGTGTTTAAAACTGGAATGTTATATTTGAAAAAATGCATTTTATTTTGAATACTGTGTTGATTTTTAAATGATGGTTGTATAAATTTGTTATATCCTTTTTGGTTGCTGTGTAATTTTTATTTTGTATGTAACACTATCAGACCAACCGTGTTCCTACTAGCTGATAATCTAAAAGATCTCACTGAACATTTAAATACATCCCATTTGTTGAAAGTTAGAACTTTGTTAGCGTTAGTGGGATTGTAATGGGGGTCCCTGTGCCCTTCAGGTCATTGTGTTAAGATGGTCTAAAAATAATGTAGTTTTGATTAATTATTGAATTATTGTTATATTTTAATATATTTTTTAGTGTATAATGAAACAATAAAGTGACATTTTTAAAAAAAGGCATATTTGAAGTTTAACGAATACTTCCCGTTGTGTTGTCATCTGAATTTTTAAGCTTGCCAAACTAAAATCACTGAAAGAGCCTTAAAATGTTTTCTTCATGTTGGCTCATTAAAATGGCGATTAGTAGGATTAGGGAAGAAAAGGCAAAAAAATTATTGGGAAGAAAATAGTTAAGCCAAGTTAATTCTTACCCACTGAACCATCATATTCTCATACAGTTGAGTTACTCCAAAAGCGTTGGCTTTAAGATAAAAACACTTTCCATGGAAGGGGAGTGGCTGGTTAACTTAAAGTTAGATAATGTATAATCTCAAGTTGTTAAATACAAGCTTAACATAAAACCAGGCCTGCAGTACACGTTATAGCCTCTAACCAAACATTTTACTCTTCATTCTGTTTCACCAGTGTTTACTTTGTTTCGCCAGTTGTCCTAAATCACAAGGTTATTCTAAATCTTACTCCTTGTATGTTATAATGGGCCAATGGCTTAGATGAATGTTGTCTGTCAATAGTTGTCTAAATTTGAACCATTATTGAGTTGGCTAGTATTAATTTTTTTCAAAATTAAATTGAATGCTTTATTGGCGCAAAACGACTCCCTCCATGCCTTAGATCTAAACACTAGCTTTTTTGTTTGGGATTGTGCACATATTACATAAGGGTAACGAGTGATTTATCATGTTATATTGTTTTATATGGGATAGGCGGTGGTAAAGACTCCTATTATAACACCGCCTTTGGTTTTCTTTATTATTTCGCAACTATTTCTTGCATGAAGGACGATTCCGCTGGCTTACAGTATACTGAGTATACCTGTTGTAAAAAAAAAAGCCTGTTTAAAATAGAATACATAGGGTCGGAAAAATAGAGAGCTTACAGACGGACGGTAGAATGTAATCCCCTCCCCACCTAAACACCCCCTTGTGTACGCCACTTCAGACACGCGAAAGATACTCGTCCCCATACAATTTCAGAATGTTATGTTTAATTTTTCTTAGAACCAACTATACTGCCGGTATATCAAACAGCGTAGCGTGTAATTTCACTTCAGCCAAATCAATTTTAAAAAATACACAAATAGCATCTGAACACACGCACGCGAGCTTTGCTTAAAAAGAAATGACTTTCAAATTTTAAAAACTTTTTCTCTTAAAAAAGCCAATCTTTTACTTTTAAACAAACAATGTACCGCTTTCTCCCCGCCCACATACACAGCATCCAGTACAGTTTTTGTGTTACTTCACAAAGCCGCTCTTGATGACACACACACTTGGTGAACTGTGGCCCAGAAAAAAGTTGTGACACAGCTCATTGATTGTGTTGATAGGCCCACAGCTCCGACACGATACTGTGAGCTAGGTCATACTGCCGGTGTATCTTATAGAAATGACAGGTATGTTAAGTTAAATTTATGTCCAATAATAAATATTATTTTAAATGTTTTAGTAAGAAGGAAAATGTACAATAATAGAATAGTCTTAGCATCGATGATTTTCAAAAAGATTATTAACCGATGCTTATTTCATAAAGATCTAGATCAGTTGGAGAATCGCAGTTTCATTTATTTATAGATCATTATTCATTGAACGAATTAAATTTGCCTATGACCTAGCTGTTAATTCGGCATATAATTATAATAGAAGTTAGACACATCCTGAAGCAAAGGTAAACACGCAGGCTATATTTTTGTAGTCATGATTGTCCTATTTCATGACCTTTAACCCAGGGATTCTCACAATTAGTCAGTTCATTGAACACAATGTGAAAACCACATTCATTATTTGAAATAAAAACTCATAAGGCCTAAGTTAAAATTTTGATTATAGACACTACAGTTGGTAAGATAAGTATACATGTTTTACCATAATTATAGACCCAGGCCTAGTATAGTTGCATCCTTTGGAGGACCTCGGTCAAATAAGCTGTTTTCAATTATCATTCTGATTAAGCTATCGATTACTATTCAGTTCTAACAAAAAATGGTACGTCAGAAGTGACAAAGCATTAACCGTTAAATTTTAAGATAACTAATTGGATGAATACCTGGTTTTTTTTTAAAGTTTGGTGCATAGTTATCAGGAATATTAGTGAACAGTATTTCTTCCAGACTTTTTTCTCCGGGAGGGGGGGGGGGGGCACTTGAAATTTTTGGGGGGTGGGGGGCGGTAGACTTTCTTTCTAACTCTTTTAGTGAAAGTAAATAAGCACTACCTAATTGGGGAAAAGAAAGAACAGGGGTTTTTCTAAGGGAGGTTGAAGCAGATGGTCTTTTTCGTGTGACGATAGGGGGTGGGGTGGGCAGAGGCGTAGCTAGGGTAGGGCGGGGAGGGCGGCCGCCCCGGGCGCCGACCCTAGGGGGGGCGCCAAAAGGGGTAGAAAAAAATTATCAAAGTTCATTTTAAGCTGCAGTTTTGAATTATAAACAAAGTAAAGAAATTTAACGGCTGAGAGCCTTTGCATACTGATTTAACTGTTTTCTACCTTGATTGTGTAACTGTAAAACGTATATCCTTAAGAAATAGTGACCGGAAAAACCGCTTTCCAGCTTTCCTAGATGGGGGGGGGCGCTTTTTCGAAGACTAAAATCGGAAAATTTCACACCAGATTAAGGAATAAATAAACGATATCACTCAGAAAAGAAACCCATTGAACTAAAGCGCATTTTACGATTGTGTAACATTAAAACAAGAGTTAGTGACGTTTAAAATCCGCTCTACCATTTTTGTCCAAGATGGTTGGGGGGGGGGGGGGCGCTTTTTACCAACAAAAACCGCAGGATTTGTACTGGATCGCTTACTAGATAACTCTTTTAACACTTAGAAAAGAAATCAATTGTGTAATGTACGATTTCACTACCCAGTTTTGATGAGTAATAACGCGACTAGTTCTTTAAACGATTCTTACGATTATCTCAACTTCATCGTGAGAGATCAGATACTTTTACTTGATTTGCATTACATCTTGCCCGAATCACTGTATTAAAGAGAAATCAATATCACGGATCCTTGAATCGCTATCCGATCAGTAAAATAGCTGACTGTCGGAGCGTGTGGTGGAAAGCGACGCTCTTTGCCTAAATTTTAAGAGAGAAGAAAATTAGTATATTGTACTAATTATTACTTTGTTCAACTTAACTGATAATTCAAAATTGTAATATAGGCCTACAATTATCGAAATTGTTCTAAAGATACGACCAAAAGTATTTTAACTAAGGCTTGCACATTCTACAAAATACACTTTTAAGCAGTGGTTCTTAACTTTTGGAGTACCGAACCCCACCAGTTTCATAAGTGCAATCATCGAACCCTTCTTAATAGTTGTATCGTCCACACAGACAAAATCCGATCGTGAATCATAAAAAGACTGTGCTAAACGAATTAGCACCGCTACAATTTTAATTTTTTTCTGGCATTACTAATCATCATTTTTAAAGAATAATGCATCTTAACGGGAATTTTATTGGCGTCGAGTGAAGTTTTAGGGAACGACAATCAGCGTAATTTGTTAATTTTATTCTAGACTGTCGCACAGACATACACACACACGTATATATATATATATATATATATATATATATATATATATATATATATATATATATATATGGGGGGCGCCAAACTGAAAGTTCGCCCCGGGCGCCGGGAGGGGTCGCTACGCCTCTGGGGGTGGGTTACTTGACTTAGTCCTCTTTGCTCCTTCTTATGGGACATAGGGCCACCACTTTTTTCTTCGATCCCCGGCTATTAATTTTGCAATCTCACAAGACATCCCGCTGGCTTCATTTCTTCGAGAAGAGTCCGCCTCTAGGTCTGTCTTGGGCGCACTTTTTTCTGCTTTCCCTGGGGGTTCCACTCAAGCGCTTGGCGTGTTACATCTGTGTGAGCCATTCGCAGCGAGTGTCCCACCCAGCGCCACTTCCTCCTTATTTGCACTGTCATAATTTCTCCTTAATTTCAAATCTGTCTAAAGTCAAAGGCAATTGTTCATGAAGGTCTGTATCTTCAATGTGCTTGCCTTGGAGACTCCATGTCTCTGCTCCATATAGCAAAACTGCCTTGACATTTGAGTTGTGTTGGAGATGGCTGAATTTTTCCATATGGGTCGCATAACTGTGAAAGCGCAGCGGGCTCTATTAATTCTAGTATGTCCTCCTCTGTGCCTCCCGATATGCTGATCTTGCTACCAAGGTAGACAAACTCTTCCACATCATTTACATGTCTTCCGTCTATTGTCACTGGGGCCTCCTGGTTATTGTTGATTCTCATTAACGCCCGCCACCCAAAAAAAAAACCATAAAAAATGATATGAAATTTATACTTAAGTTTTGAACCCAAACTCTAGAGGGGGATAAGTTTTTATGACAAGCGTTTAAATATTCAAATGAAATGTCTAGACATAGAAGTAGGCAAAAGGTGGCGAGGCTTAATTTTCGCATTAGTGGCGGGGCTTATCTGGAATAGATCCCCACAAACCATAACCAGGATAGCTTTAACTTTTAAAAGAGCTAATCACATATAGGCGAATTTTTGTCCATTCTGTAATGCTGCCAATTCCAAAACTCTACAAACGTTTTATTATTCTACCACCAGAAGCCAGACCAAACCTGACCTACGTTGTCGCAGTGGCTGCGGGCGCAGGACTGGTGACCTTAGGCCTCTACTGGTTGAGGAAACATTGCACATCGTGTAAGAACCTGCCTATCAACCCGTCCATCAGGAAAAATGAAGCCAAAGTCAGTGACGTGTTTGACATCGAAGATTTATTAAAAACCATTGAACCTGGAGGGAAAATTAGCTTGTGCCGGTGCTGGAGGTCAAAAAAGGTAACAAATTTTTTTTTTTTTGCTTCACTTTAGTGCAAGTATAAAATAACGGCATTTATTAGGCATGTTCAAATTATCTTTCAAACCTCTAGTGTAATTAAATATAGTAAAGAGCCACTCGTATATTTAAGGCTCAACTGATAAAAATGCCAAGGAGACAGATAAAACAATCAGCTTAGATAAGACTGAGACACTATTTAACCCTGTTGTATAATTTAAGGTTCATTATTATACAGCTAGAAAAAATATAGTGCTTGGTTTATTACTTTTTGAATTGACTTTAAACCTCATGTTATAAATGCATTAATGAGTTTATCTCAAGATTTGGGACTGTAATGGTTTCATGTGCATAGGGGGGTAATCCATAAATGAATTCACTTTTTCTTTTGACGATTTTTACCTCCCCCACACGTCGTCACAAAAGCCAGACCCCACCCCCTAAAATGACGTCACACCTCAGCCTACAACCCCCCTCAAAATTGCAGTTGCATTTTTTAAAAACATCGATATGTTTCCAAAATCTTGTCTGAGCTCGGTCAAAATAGAGTATTTTAATCAATTCCTATACTATTTATTAAAACAGTTTTCTAAAACTCGAAATAACGTCAAAAATTCGTTTTCTAACATTGCTTTTTTTTAATGCAAAAGTGACATAACGCCATCTACTCCCCCCTCACAAAGTCGCAAAATTACGGTTCGCCCCTTCATCCTACGAGTGTGACGTCATTTATGGACGACCCCATAATGGTTTGTAATCATGTCATAACTGGCCACCACATCAATATTTACCCATTCCAGTTTCCTTTCAATCCTATGTCATGATAATTTTAACTGACAAACTTTTTTCCCCCCCAGTGGCCATACTGTGATGGAGTCCATAAAGAACACAACAAATGTTCTGGTGACAATGTGGGACCAGTGAACATAGTGAGAAAAAAGGCTGCTGACAGTTGATTCTTAGTTAGCTTAGATTAAAATAACTAGCAATATTAATTTTTTTTTTTGTAAATATTTAACATTACATTGTATACATGTTTAGATTTAGATGGATATTTATTAATTAAAAATACATCTTGTCACTTGTTTAAGATTTTTTTTTACACGAATAAAAATTACTTTTCTGTTAAAATAATTGCTTTTGCTTTCTCTTTGCTGCATTTTATCCACCTTGCAATAATCTTTATAGTTGGCTAAAAATAAAAAAACTTTTGAATACTTTAAGGAGTATCAAATTTTTATTTACATGCTAAATATGGATATTTTAACTGAGCCCCTTTAACAAGAATGTTGAGTAGTATTTATCTGAACATTGACAAAACATTATGTTGAGATCTAGCTTCTGGTCTCCTAAAGTCAAAGGTTACAAATGTGGGGCAAAACAATCCATATAAAAGTTACAACTGGCACATGTAAAACTATAAATACCCAATCCTATACATCATATAAAGAATCACACTAGCTACAAAATTCTAAGGCACATATATCTAACACTAAAGTGCTGAAATAAGAACATACTACCAAACTCCTGTGTGATCTTAGTGAAATTACCCATAGTGTAAAAAATTATTGGTTTAAAAAAATGTCACAACGATGGATTCTCAAATGGATATTACACTTTCAAAGGAATAGCTTTGTGCATAGAACTTGAATTTAAATAATACATAACATGCTAACACACTTACTGTTGAACAATTACCTACAACAATTTCACTTTACATTAACATCAGCATTTAATAATTGTGCTTTAATAACTAAGCTAAAAATTAAATTGTTTAAATGTGAATCATAACATTGAGCAAACTGCACAAGCCATCTGATTAACCAATCATGTGGAGATACAAAATAAACCATTTCTTTTAAACAAAATATGAAAATTAAGGAACAAAGTAAAAATTAAGAAAGGTATGTTGAAAACTGAAATCTAAAAAAACTAAAATCTTTCTGTTTGTAAAACATACTCATACTAGTTTCATGAACAATTCACTAGTAGGTTTGTTCTGTTCTATAATGTCTAAAGAAATGATCATCACAACATTCTGTACTATTACAAATGTGGCAGGAAACTGAATGATTATGAGCTACATTTCTCCTTCTTAAAACACAAAGGACCAACATTGTCTCCTGTTTCCTGATTGTAAGCATTGTGAGATCCATCGCACATAGGGAACTGAAACAAAACATTTTACAATATTATTCAAGGGATTTGCAGATTATTTTAGACATGTTATATTTTACAACTTTTAATCATCAGATAACACTTATTTTTAGCCCACAGCTCCTCATGTTATATAATACTAAATGACTTTTATGACAACCTATCCAACCAATGAATGGCAAACAATTAGAATAAGTGAAAGTATAGAATTAAAAAAATTTAAGAACCGATAGCAAAGCCATTGAGCTAAAACAAAATTATTTCTTATGCCAAATGTGTCAACTTGTAACTTTGATTATTAAAAAAAAAGAATCAAAGGCTCTATTCCACAAAATAAGAAACCACTACCCCACAGCCCCTTCATATTGTAGCCCTAAGCTCATACAACCAAGTTTTAAAGTTGCAGGAGTTTTTAAGTAGGATAAAGATTAATTCATGACAGTTGTAAAACTGTACCTAATTAGATATAGCAGTTTAAAAAAGTCTTTACTTTTTTAAAGTATTTTTTAAAACTACTGGAATTCTAAATGACCTAAAAGATGATTAGAATAACCTGTGAATAAACAAATTATATAGTCCCTTTGAAACTCATGCACACCATTTCACTACATCAGAAATATGGAAATAGATCTTTTTCTTGAAGAAAATGGTTAAGAACAAAAAGCGGGGGTTCAGATAATGATTTGTTTACAACCCTCATGAACCATAAAAAAAAGTACCTTTTTTGATCTCCAGCAGCGGCAGTAGCAAGCATTGTCACCAACATCTTCCACGTTTACGGAGGTTACAACTTTATCTTTAGACTTGTCAATGCCAGGGTTGATCTTAGAGGGTGGCTTGTTAGATGAACGAAAACATTGCCATGCAACATACAGACCCAATGCAATGGTGGTAATTACTGGAATGTAGCTGACATCTCTACCTGTTAAAAATCAAAACTTATGTATTAAAAACAGTAAAAATGCATACACAACATTACAGTGCTTCAGTTGATTAAAAAAAAGAAATTTCCCTGCTTATGTGGTCATCCATTTATAAATATAATGAGGAGGAAGAGAAGATAGAAAAATGAAGGAGGTTTTATGTACATATAGATGTCAACATGTTGTTCATATATGCTACATAAACATAAAATGTTTATAAATCTAAATATATGTAGTGTATACATGTTTTTTTGTGTAAGTTCAGCTGAACGGTTTATTCAATTATTTAAAACAAAAGTTTTTGACATTTCTACTCATGTCCATGCACATCAACTTTGATCCCCCCAACATCATTTATGAACTACCAATTATTGTTAGTTGTATTGTTAAAGTTAGTTAGACCTTTAAAATGTTTGATCCTCACTAATGATTATATTACATTTGGCTACATTTACGTGTCCAAAACAATAGGTTACTGAAGTTGGATGATTTTAGATACCGATGTCTGATAATAGACTCTTCCATAAAATAGGTGTGTTGGGTTGTTAGTAGTGTTGTAATCTGGACTAATTTTATGGTTTGAAATTAGGGTTAGGCGTATGGTAGGACTAGGGTTGGGGACAGGGGGCATTAACATTAGCCAACCATGTGTGTATTTAATTAACTACCAGTAACCTAACACCCCTTTTTTAAAAAAGATTCTATAATCTGACTAAAATTCCCCCCCCCCCCCCCCCCCCCCCCAAAGTTTTTATAATCACATTTTTGAATATATTGTTTTGGCCTTATATTTTATAGTCCTTATGTTTGAGAGTCAAACCTGTTATCTTCAATTAATTATTTACTTTTTCTACTTAATGTTTTTGTGTTTCAGTTGTGTTTATACTAGATAGTTTATAATAAAATACGCTGAACTGGAGGTGAACAGTACAGGAATCTGTAATCTATCGTTTTAGGTACGTAAAATTGCCCGCGACTAGTAATGTGAAAAACAGCTGACTCCTTAAATTTTAATAATTATTTCACATTTTGAGGAGGATTTATGTTTTGAAAAATACAAAAATGTTTCCTTGTTTGATTTATGTACCTGTTTTTAAAAAAATTGAATTAAAACTTTTCAGTAATAAATGAAGACTAGCGATATTTCCAACAGATGCAACCATGCTCATTTACTATAGCAGCCATCGTGTTTATTTTTTAAAATTGTAAACTTATAGCGCAAGATTCAGGGGAAGCCACTCTAACTTACAGATGGCAGCTTTTTATATAGCAAATCCTGCTCGCAAACACTGCTGTTTAAAGTTAATTTCTTGCCTATATTTATATATTTAGTATTTAGCTATTGATTTAGATTTATTTTTCATTTATCTATAATATTTGACACAAATATATCACAATATAGTATAGTATATACTTCTATTAAAGCCTTGACAATGAGGTAGAATCTAACTTTTTCGTACATTAATAGCCGCAGGCGATTTTAAAATTACCCAGGAATCTGCAATGATTAGTAATAGTAGAAGACAATAAAAATAAGGCCGATGCTAGCCGGAATAAAATACGCATGCGCAATGGAGAGAAACTACGACTTGCCTTTGCGGCGATGTTTTCGATTGGTACTGCGCATGCGTGTGTTTACAACCGCAGAACCCTAACACCAACCCTATGGCCTAATCCTACCCCTAACCCTCATTCTAGCCCTAACCCTAGCCATAGGTCACTGCGCATGCGCAGAGCTATCTTTTGCCAACTAAGTGGAGACGTTGGGGAGAAAAATCTTCTTCCGAGTAGTCACTTCTTCGTAAAAATAAATACTAAATTTAAATTAAAAATGGAGTTTCTAGATCTATCTAGATCTACCATACTTAATGGGAGGCGAGCGAGTTGACGAGATTCCGTCCCCAATGTTGTTGACATGGAATAAAAACGTGCTTTTTAGATTTAGACCGTAAAAAAAAAAAAAAAATAAAAACTTAAGCCTAAAATTAATTTAGAAATTTTATATTTTTAGAATAATGCTATAAAAGTTGCAAATCCAGAGAACTTGAAAATAATTTGTTGAGTTTAAGGGCTACATTTCTATTTATTTTCATCAAGCCTAAGTTATAACCGGATGTTTCACTTTCGTAAGACAAATATTGATTGGCTGTACAGTAACTTAGTGATCGATAACTATTTGTTTACAAAACTTTGCAGATCAAGTTTTTAAATAATAATGCAAATTTAAAACCCCATGACCTAGTTTTCTATTTATTGTACAATAAAATCAATGGCGGCCTATCCAATAGCAGGATGCCATTGTTTATGTCGCCATTACACGTGAAAACCAAATTGTTTTTGCTTTTTTTTAAATTTTTATTTAGTTACCGAAAATATTATAAACATCAAATACATCCAATCTTTAGTAAAGTCCGAAAAAAACCAGATAGACAGGATTTTATAACCATATTAATTGTAACTACGCTGTGCATGATTTTTAAATGAATTTATACACCTCTCAAATATCTTTGAGAGTTTTTCTCGCTCGTGTCCATTGTCGACAGTGAACAGAGTACATAGGCAATATATATTCTTGCTATCTAGAGTCTAGATCTAGTAGACATTCATCACACTGTTGTTATTGCTTATTGTATTATTATTCGTGTTGAAGTTGTTGAAACAGCCTGACAGCAAGTACTTGATTTTTTGATGATTCAAATCAATCAGATCAGATGGCTGGGCGATTGGATTGTGTGATTGTTTTAATTAAAATAATCTAATGTAGAGTTAGACTAGAACTAATTAAAATTTACCTCCAATTTCCAAACCCATTTTACTTTCATTGAACTATTATAATCTCAGAAAAAGTAACTAGATTTACAGATTTAATGTAAATTCGGCTTTTATAAAACGTCTTTGACTTTTCTTTCAGTTATTCAATGTTTTGAAAGTCATATGCCAGATTTATTTCCACTTCCACGAATTCTATGCCAAAAAAAAAAACGGCCACTAAGTCTACTAAAAACATATTTGAAACAAATTTGTTATAGGACCAGACCTAATTAAAATGCTCTTAAGTAACATTGTTAATCATTGATGAATCCCTAATGTTTATAATTCCTGTTAGGCCCATTAAAAAAATAATATAATAGGCCTACAACAGCAAGCCCGTTTTTCAAGGGGGGGGGGGATTAATATTTCAACATAATATTTTAGGTCAATGATATGTTTTGAAGTTTAATCTAGACATACTTTTTTATAACAAAATGGTTAAATGTTAGCTTTTTCTTTTTAAACTATTCCTAACTACCATACCCTAAATCTTACCTGTAAATTAAAAGAAATAAGAAATCGTGATCATACTCTCCTTCCTGGCAGTAAACTTATTAAATACGCAGTTTGATACAGCCCCTACACAAGAATGAAGAAACACAAATTAGGAAAAAGAATAAAAAACTCCCACCCTTCTCAAATAAACAAGCAACACCCTAGTTCAGGGTTCGGCAACCTTTTGAGGCGGAAGAGCCAAAAATTAAAATTTACATGATTTCCCAGTTTTCAAAGAGCCACTAACAATATTTTGTTTTCAACATTATGGTTTTTGATTAAGATTAGATAAATAGATTTAAAATAAATGGGTTTAAGTATGAAACAAAATTCATATAAACACATACACATTTTTTCGCACAAAACATAAGTATTTTAGCCAGCTCTGCTAGGATAATAAAATCAAAATTATACAACTATAGCACTATCCCTACCCAATTTAGAAGCTAATAACTAACTAACGGTAGACTTTCTTCGGGGCGGACACTGTTAAAAGTATATATTTTCTATATAAATTATATAAATTTCATTTCCCGAAGAGATGCCTGGAAGAAACTCTGCTAACAAATTCATCTATCGCACCCTAAGTGAAATCGCTTTTAACTCTGATACTAACTTTACATTATATGAAAATTTATGATGTAACGTTGTTACCACACAAAAAAAAAAAAAAAAAACCCAAGGAAAACAAAAATAAACAGATAACTTTTGTAATGAGAAACAAAAATAAAACACGCACTTCCCTCCAGAGCCGGCGTTAGGGGTACGCGGGGCATATGGCCAACCATCCGCGCGGGGGCCTTATATTTTTCCATTGGTGTTTAAAACATGTACAGTGAGGCATTTTTTTTCTCAACGCGAATTAATATTTTAACGATATATATGGTATTTTAAGCTGCTTATCGATGTCGTATTAACATAAAGACACTGATTAACAAATAATTTGTTTACTTAGAAGTGCTTTTGAAACGTTGCTTGTTTATGTTAAGGCTTTTTGTTTTGAAGAATAAAAAAAATAAAACAGATATAAAGTTCGAGACACGCATTTAAGAGACGATGAACGTCAGCTTCATACCTGATTTTTTACATTAATGTTTATTTATGAAAATCTTACCAGTACGTTCACAAAGATCTACTTTTATTGCCTTTCGTGAGGAAAATTCCATGATTACATTATTTACATCATCATAGTCCAAACTGGAGGCTATATCTTTTTCTATTGACAGAATCGACAGACAGCAGAGCCTGTCTTGGGGCATAAATGACTCGAGGATTCATTATTACCGTCACCACCATAAATTTTAATGATGATAAAC